GTGTGGAGCCATGCGGTCCCCTGGGGAGCAGAAGGGGAGCACAAGAAGAGGAGCAGGAGAAGTGTGCTCAATACTGCGCTCCCCACAATAAAGTTGGTGCCTGCCATTTCATTCTCATGTCTACCTCTTGTGCATTCTTCCAACTGGGTGTCTCACCGTCAAACCTTCCCTTCTCTATCAGTTCGGTGCTGACAAGTGGCTACAGATGAAAGTAATAGAGGAGTCAAGAATGACTTCAACTATTTTTGTCTATGTAACTGGAAGGATATGAGCCACTGCCAAATGAGAGTTAGAAGATGGGGATATGTTGCTGCAGATTCGCAGTTCTGAGATAAGGGGTGGAGTATACAGAGAAAGAAAGGTAACCGTAGTCAGGTTCCCTCCCACACCCAGAGCTAACTTCCAAGCAGAAGTGACTCAACACTTCTCCCCTTATGTAACCATGTGCCCAGTGCAAGTGTGCAAACTTCCATTATCTGGCAGCATGCCACTATTGTTTAACCTGTGTATAAAAGGCGCCACCGCCCTGTGCAGTTGCCTGTGCCCTTGCTGGAATAAAGAGCTATGTCGTAGATGCCTACGGCTTCCTACATTTTCTTCCAACTGCCCGAGCCTCATATCCTTATCTCGGAATTGCAAATCTGTAGCAACACAGGGGAGAAGCAGGTTTGAGAATCAAGAATTTCATTTTGGAATTTAAAATGCTTTTTAGACTCTCAAGTAGAGATATTCTGTAGTCAGTTGGCTACAGAAGTCTGGAGTTCAGGGCAAAAGACATATATCTGGGAGCCATTGGTAAATAGCTGGTATTTAAAATAAACATGGAGTAAGTGTAGATAGAGAAGAAGACCAAGACTGAGTCGGAAGCACCCCAAAATTAGGAAGTCAGGGGCATGTGGAAAACTCAGGAACAAGGTCTGTGAAGTGAGTTAGTGGAGAAGTAAAACCATGAATGTCTGCTGACCTGGAAACCACAATAAAGTGATTCAAGAAAGGAGAAATCAATTGTGTCAAAAGCCGCTGAAGACCTAGATCAAGTAAGACAAGGACTGAGAGTTTACCATTGAATTCACCAGTGGGGCAGCTGTTAGGAGTCTTGGCAAGGGCAATGCTGGTGGAGTTGTGGCCACAAAATCTGTTTGGAGTAAGTTCAAAAGAGAATTAGTAAGAAGAAACTGTCGACAAATAATTTAGATGATTGGAATGAGTTTTACTCTTAAGCGGAGCAGAGAAATAGACTACTAGTTGGAAGAATTATTTTTTAAAGGTTGGAGGTACTACTACATAATATCATGCTGATAGAAATGCTTCTATTGAGAGGCAAAACTTGATAATGCAAGCAAGGGAATGAGTGGAGGGAAGTCTTTAGTAAGTGAGAGGACACAGGGTCCACTGCCTGAGTGGTCAACTAGCCTCATGCAGGAGCAGGGGCAGGGGAAGGGCCAGGAGTAGGGAAGTTCTTCCCTATAACAAAAGGGAATTCCGATACATCTGTTAGTGTGAAGAAGATCATGCTCTTCTGGTGGCTTTTACTTTCCCTGTGCCAGCAGAAACAAGATCATCAGCTGAGAATTAGGGGGGTGGAAAAGAATGAAGTTTGAGGTGTGGACCAACCCTCTCAGAGAGTGAATTGTCAAGAATAGCATTGAATTGTCTAGTAAATTTTCTATGACAGCACTATCCCATAGAATTATAATGCAAGCCACATATGAAACTCCAAATTTTTCAGTAGTCAACTTAAAAGGTAAAAAGAAACAGGTAAAATTAATTCTAATTATACATTTTATTTAATCCTACTTTTCAAAATATTATCATTTCAACATGTTATCAGTATAAAAAAAAGTTATTTCATGTTTTTTTAGTACTAAGTTTTGAAAAGCCAGTGTGCATTTTACATTTTCAACACATCTCAATTCAGACTAGGCACATTCAAGTGTTCAATAGCCATATGTGGCCAGTGGCTACCATACTGTACAATGATGGTCTAGAAAATAAAGTACAACTAATGGATAACACAATGGCCCCTAGAGACTGGAAATCATGAATTGAAGTGATGTTGGCACAGCTGTGTGTTGTTCCTAAGCCACATTCAAAACTCATGTACATTCAGCAGGTTGTCTTTCTTTTGTTGAAGGTTTCCTTCACTGTGCTGCAAAGCTTTTTAGTTTGATGAAATCCCATTTATTTTTGCTTTTGTTTCCTTTGCTTGAAGGGACATCTCAAAAAAAAATATTACTCAGATTGATATCAAATAGTTTACTACATATGTTTTCTTCTAGGAGTTTTATGGTTTCGGGACTTACATTTAAGCATTTAATCCATTCAGAGTTTATTTTTATATATGGTGTAAGAGAATGGTCCAGTTTCAGTTTTTTGCATGTATCTGTCCAATTTTCCTAGCACCACTCTTTAAATAGACTGTAGGTGCCCATCAATAGATGAATAAATAAAGAAGATGAGAATTATATATATTTCATTATATATATATCGTTATATATACATATGATGGAATATTATGTATATAATGGAATATTACACAGCAATGAAATCTTGCCATTTGCCACAACACAGATGGACCTAGAGGGTATCATAGTAAGTGAAATAAGTCAGACAGAGAAAGACAAATACCATATGTTTTCATTTGCACGTGGAATCTAAAAACAAAACAAAACAAATGAATAAACAAAACAATAACAGACTTATAGAAACAGAAATCATAGGGATGGCTACCAGAGGGAAGGAGTGGGAGGATGATAGAAAAAGGTAAAGGGGGATATAGTCAATAATATTATCATAAGTTTGCACAGTGATAGATGATTACTAAAATTAGTAGGGCGATTGCATTGTAAAGTGTAAAAATCACTATATTGTACACCTGAAACTAATGTAACTAATATAAAACTGTATACCAACTATATTTAAATAAAAAAGAATATTCAAATAATTAAAAAAATAAAGTCTTCTTCACCAGGAAAACAAAACAATACAAAACAAACTCATGTGCAGACATGGAGTAGGCAGAGTTGGTCTTGACCAGGAATGGAATTTTTCCAGTAGCATTTAAACAAAGGAAAAAAAGGAGAAAGAATTTGTGGCATGTACAACCAAAAGTTTTATAAATTGACCATAGAAAGTAAGCCACAGAAGCAAGAATTGGTGGGGGGGAGGTGAAAAGGTGGCAGAGACAATGATAGTTCAAGTAAGGTCTAGAACTTTTAGAGTTATAGCTGCTATACAATATACAAAGTAGTCCAGAATAATCCTTGCCCTCTGATCTTGACGGCAGGTATACCAATAGCCATGCTATAAGATGCTATATGATAAATGTCGTGCAGTAGCACAAAATGTGTTTTATGTGAGTTCAGGGAAGAAAGAGCCCATGAACTACTAGAATGATCCGGGAGGGTTCATGGAAGTGGTGGTGGGCAAATCAGGTCTTGAAGGATGAATAAAGTTTTAATTGGTCTATTATGGGAAATTTGCAAAGTGGGGAGAAAGCGCAAGCATGAATAAAAAAATCTTCACTATTTCTTGAGCTAAGAGTAAAACAAAAATCTTAATATCAATATTTAGTAAGAGGGTTATGATCACATTGGGGAAAGCAGCCTACAAATAATAATAGGTCTTTAGAGAAGAGTCCTGGGACAATTTCCCTGGGAAAAGGCTATACTATAAAATAGTGATACTCCCAGAATGCAAAGTTTCCTAGGAGTATGAGAACTAAAAGCCAAAGACTGTTCCCAAGAAATAAATGCTCTTCCTTTCTGGCCCATCAGGCTCTTACACACATGTGTATGCACATGCACACACACATCCTTTCATCTTTCATTTCGAACTCAGTCTCATATATTTAATTTTCCTCTAATGAAATGGTCAGTTACATTTAAAGAGAAACAATATGTTTACTTTTCATCATCGGATTCTGGAAGAAAATATGTAGAAACAACGAGGATTAGAGTATGTAGGATGAAAAAGGCTTTGATTTCTATTAACACTTTATTTTTAATAGTAGGTATACTCTCACTTACAGATTCAGTTTATAATTCTTTTAGAAAACAAGCTGCATATATGCATTGTATTCTTTTTTCTAAATCTGATGTCATTTCTATTAAAATTTTAAAGGAAAAATAGCATTTCAATTTACTTTGGTTCTCAACACAGTCATCATTAAACAACAGGAAATTTAGTTTTTCCTAAGCATGTGCAGATCATTGTCACAAAAAAAGTCACCCTCTTTTCCTAGCTCTAAATAGGAAAATCTGCCAGTATTCCCTCCTCTTTTTATCACAAGAACTCCCTACTTCAAGTGGAATATTTAGAAACAGTAAGAAGAACTAGATGTTTCCACATGACTTTAATAATAGTGTTCTTTGTATTTACGTGTCATATATCCTTGGTACTTCATAGCTCATTATCATTTTAAATTTACAAATCAATATATGAAAGCACAAGGTTTAGAAGCAGCTCTTCTCCTGCCCAACAGTAAGTTATTAATATGAGATCACTCTCATAACAAAAAAAATGAGGTGCTTAATAAATAGAACATATCAATTATCAAATATCTCATTTATTCAAGATAATTTTAAGAACCATGGAGTTTTAATCATATAAATAACCATATTAAACCTCATAGACCTACATTAATGTAAATATAGATTCATATATCATTCCATTAAAAACTAATACTTAAGATGAATTAATAAATATATATACATATAGACACATATCAGTTCCACTAAGTGGAATATATTTCAATCAAAAAAGTCAGCAAATGTGTAAACGTATTTTAAAATGTGAAGTACTGCTTTAAATTTTTTTCACCAACATGTTACAATTCTGAAGGGTACAGATGCCACTGGTCAGACTGCTGTATATGTTACCAAAGTACCTCCTTAGTGAGAGTAAAAGCATCCATTGTCTGCTGATTCAATTAGGAAGGTAAGGTCTTCAGTTCACTTAGCAGTGCTAAGTTGTGGTTTTGATTCCAGTGTCTTAAACACTCATATGTCTGGAAGATTCTGTAAGATCTGTCTCAAGGAAGCACAAGCTACCACATGAGCATCAGAAAGAAGGTTAGCAAGTGACTGAAACAGCTTCTTGACTATTGTCTTCAAACACTGGTGGGCAGCATTCAAATCTCTGTCAAACTACTGTCCTTCAGTTTGTAGAGCCAAATGACTGCAGATATTTCTAAACTCAACACTGTCCTGAAATGAACAGCAAACAGAAATAAGCAGTTAGATAGGTTATAAGGGACATTTGTTGTACTTTGTGTATCCAGCTTCCATTCTCATCTCTGATGATACCACTCCAATTTTTCTCTCAGAGAACTACTCTCCTCCATTCTCAGCCTGTGTGGTGTGACCAAAGCAGACCCCACTCCACAACACCAGCGACCAGGCCAGTCAGAGCATATCCCCCCCTCAGCCAATTAGATTGGTCAGGGATGGACAGGTAACCCAACACAGGCCAAAACCTACAGTTGCAGAATATTTGCTAGATTGCGAAAGAGAAGCTCTCTTTAACTGGGGCTTTTGGAAAACATCTTACCACCATAACAGGAGAATCGTAATGAGAACAAAGCCAATGCAGAAAAAAAAATATATATATATAGACCCAAGAGATTAAAAAAGACTGATTCTAATAACATTTTCTGAGCATGTCAGCCTAGTTATACTTAAACAATAAACCCCAAGATTCTTCAGCTGAGTCAGTAAATATCCTTTTTCACCTAAGCCATTTGGAGTTGAGCTTCTGTTATTTATTCTTAAAAGAGCTTTGACAAGTACACAAACAGCCTCTGCTCCTATTATTCTATACTCACTGTCTTTAAGGTTCCAATATAGGATTTGGTATTTAATGAACACAGTCTCAAGATGTTTCCAATGCAAATTTAGAAAGAATAGTTCCCAGGGAGTTTAATTAAATTGATTTTTAATCCCCAAATGTTTCACATTCTAAAATCTATAACATGTAAATAGTACACTGAAACTGCTTCACGTCATATAATTTATTGTTAAATAAATGGAAGTGACTTCCCACAGACTTCTGGTTCTGGCAACATGGCACACTTAGTTTCTTCAAAACCTACTGAATTCTAAATAAAATAGAACAAACTTCATCTCTGAGCTTGCAAGAAAGTAATGGAAATCTCCAAGGGCTGGAAATAAAGGAAAAATAGATTACTTTAGCTGCCCTCCAATACTCATTAAGAAAAGAAAGTTGGTCTCTTTTGAGCTGGTTTTTTGATAGAGGTAAAGTTGCCCCAAGAATGTGTAACTGTGGATGGGTACTAAAGAGTAGTTTAAGTTTGGAGTAGCCTCTATACCATATACATGTTCTGGGAACATTCGTGCTAAGAAATTGACTTAAAATTTGGAGTTGGGCTGACATATCCATGGACACATGGCAAAAGCAAACAAAAGACTATTCCACGAACATATTCACAGCCTATACCCCACAGCAATATTCCCACAGAATCTGTCAAAGACAAACTCAGAATATGAAATGTGAAATACATTTACCACGACACAGCAGATACAATGTACAGCAGGATGAAACTCCAAGAATTTCAGATAGAAACTATTAAGTATGCTTAAAATGATTAAAGACATAAAAGAAGGAATCAAAAAATGTTTAAAGAAAAATCAGGCTTGACAAAGAACCAAATACAAATATCAGGACAAATACTCAGTGGGTAGTTAAAACACCCAAATAAACACATCTGGAGTGAGGATTAGTAAAGCGAATGATAAATATGGGGAAATTGCCCAGAATACAAAATAAAACGTTTAGGACATGGGAAATATGAATGAGAGATTAAACAACATGGATGACAGAATGACGAAGTCCAACAGATAAACCTCCAGGAAAGTCAAGACAGAGAAAGGGATAGAGGCAATATTAAAAGAGAACAATGAATGAGAATTATCTAAATTGATCCAAGAAATGTATCAGGAAATAAAACAGCCTTGAGCAGAAAAAGTTAAATGAGATCCAAATCTAAACTCTTATTACGAAACTACTCTTAAAAGTAACCGGAGAGAAAAAGATAAATGGGATTTAAGAGATGACAACACAGACAGTGAACTTCTAAGTCACAAAAACTGAAGAAAAGAATGGAATAATGACCTTGAATAACTGTCAACCCAAATTTTTAAAAAAAGTCTAAACTATCAGGGTAAAATAAATATACTTTCATTTAAAAGGAGTTGCCACAAATAGACCTTCACTGTCAGATCTTCCTAAAGATATAATTCAGAAAGAGGAAATTCAATGAAGAAGGCAAAAATAAGATGTAAGAAGCGACAGTGAACAAAGAAATTTAAAAATATGGTATAAATCTAAAGATTTGATTGCTCAAAACAAAAATTATAATAACTAACTTGGGGTTTACAAATCAAGATGATTCTAAAATGCTAAACAGTAGTAACATTTAGGATAGAGATACATTCTAACGCGTTGCATTTATTCAAGAGAAAGATGGCAAAACTGATAAATTTCTGCCTTGTTAAGTATGCATGTGAGATGTGTAAGAGTTACCCTTGAAGTAGAGAAATAATACCTAAAACTTCAAAATCAGCAGGGGAAAAGTATATTAAAACTTTATTTGTTCTATCTAGGTAAAACAAAAAAAAAATGAAGAAATACACAAACATAAAGTAAGGTGAATAGAAAGCATCAAATAAAACATATAGTGATTACCAGATTTGATTTATTTTTAAAAATCTATATGTTGTTCACAAGCAGCACACTTAAAACTAAAAATATCTAAATATTGACAGTCAATGGATACTAACATATATGCCAAGTAAAGAGAAGCCAAAATAAAGCCAGAAAAATCATCATTAGGGATAAAATAGACTTAAATTAATAAAAGGAGCTATTCCTCCAGAAGATATAACAATTTTGTACTTGTGTGTACCTAATATGATAACCTAAATTTACATTTAATCCACAAACATAAAAACATTTTAACCCAACTTTCTCAGAAACTAATAGATCAAACAAAACAATCAGCCTAGAGTGAAAAGATTGAAACACTAATCACAAACTTGGTCCAATGAAGATAAACTAATATACATTATTCTCAAAGATATTTGGAATATTTATGAAATCCGACTATCATATAATATTCCACAAAGCAAATCTTAATGAACATCAAATCAAAGTCTATATCATACAAATCACAATGCAAATAAGTAAGAAATCAATAACATAGATAATGTTCTCAAAACATGTATGACTAAAAAATTCACTTGTAAATATTCATGGGTCAATGAAGAAATAATTGAAATTTTAAAATGCTTTATACTAAACAATTATGGAAATACTATATCACACATTTGTGGGCTATATAGCTACAATGAGAAATATGTAGACTTAAATGCTTATGTAAGTAAAGAATAATCAATGAAAAACCATGAGCTAAGAATTCAACTCAATAATTTAGGAAAAGAAAAATGGGTAATCCAAAATAAAACGAAAGGAATAACAAAACATTAAGCCAAACTTTGATGAGGAACTAGAGTTTTCTTCCTAATTTTATACAGAAAAAAAGAAAGAAAAAGTTATTCTTGTCCTTAATAAAAACTTTGTCACTTGGGTGAGAAAATCTGGTTGTCTGGCAAAATGTTTATTAGAGAACTTCTTCCAAGAAACAAAACAAATATCCATTTATTCAATTCAGCAAACAGTGGCAGTGGGATCACAGTGTAAGCTAGGTGCTGGGAAGGAAAGATAAACATGCTACAGAGTCCCCTTACTCAAGGATTCACTGGCTACCATGCTTCTTTTTCTTTCTTTCTTTCTTTTTTTTTTTCTCTCTCTTTAAAGCATTCTTGAGTCCCTGCCTTTGTGTGTCACTCATTTTTGCTCAGAAGGTATCAAGGGACTACGTAGATGATCTGCCTCATAATTCATGAGGCAACCTATATTGCTGGAGCATGTTGCTTTGGAATGGGAAAGGAGATGGGAAATGACTCTGGACTACATCCTGTAGATCCACACTAAGGGAAATTGTCCACTTGCTTTATAGAAGTAATCCGATTCTAAGTACAAAGTAGGAGGATCAAAGAAACATGCAAAGGGAAATTCAAACTAGAAGGAAGCATTGAAATGTGTGCAGACGTGTGCCTATTAGCCAGTCTGCAAAGATATTCATCATCCAAAGAAGATTAAGATGCCTTTAAAAGTATATCTGTGGGCCTAAAATCTGAAGCCAACTTCAAGTTCACTATAAAGAATCAAAGAAGGCATCATTTGGGGAAAATTATATATATATATAATAAAATTCCACTGCCGGGCTGTACTGATCCCCAAGGCACTGGGTAAACTTCAGATCTCTGGCAAGCTTTGCAAAGTCTCTTTATTTTACTATTTTAGTACAGTGTTTCCTTTTCATCCTTTCTCAAATATATTAACAGTCAAAGAAAACAAATTAATAGGAATAGCTTTCCATGGGACTCTTAAGCCAGGGAAGGGGAAAATAAAACAGGTGGTTGCTTCTCTTCCTTTCTAGAAGGTCTAAAGGCCAACTATGGATCCAATCACCATGGATTCCAATCAAACCTCTCCTGTTTCTGCTGCGTACAGTGGGGCCACGAATCACAGCATTGAGGAAACAGCATATTAAGTTGTTCATGGGCTTTCAGTAGGAATTCACATGATCAATATTGGTGATGATTTCACTTATGTGCTTTCAATTCAATGACAGGGCATATACTCTCAGTAGCTTTTATTTAGCAAGTCCCAGATGCTTCCAGAAATTGTGTAATATCCTACATTGTTCTTTGTGCAAAATTACACTATGGCTGAGCAAAGTAAAAGCAGGTTTTGGAACTTCTAAAGCCTTATGTAATTTCATACTTTGGATATAAAACATATTGATTGCTACAGTGGTCCAAATTGATGGCCAGCATTTACATTTTAAAGTGAGTGACTCAGTGAATCTATTGGAACAATGGTCTCATCCTGTTTAATTCAGTTTACGAATCAGTTAAATTTATTTCAAATGTGTATCAAGTTTCAACAACCCAATTGATTACATTGGATAAAAGATGATAAGATGTGGTACCTGGTCTCTAAAGAGCTTATAACCTAGTAAGGGGAATAAGACACACAGAGCATATATCCAAACATCCAGTGAAATGTGATGAGGGCTATGGTAAAAATATAAAATACAAAAAATACAAAAACCCAATTCTAT